AATGAGTCAGAGTAAACGTTATCTCTGTTCGCCAGATACCTGGAATGTTAATTTCATATCATGCAAAAAGTGAGAAAAGAAAATCAAACATTTCTCTGTCACTTAATGTGTTTAATATTAGCTGCCATTGTTATTATGGGTCATCCAGTATAGATGTGTTAATCATCAAAAGAAAAGGGATTTTTCTTAAAAACTTCAACTTTCAACAGACATATTGGAGAGAAACAGCTAAACAGTGCTCTGTGTGCTCTGTCATGATGTACCTTTCATTACACAATCTGTTGGTATAACACCCCATTCATAATTGCACCTGAGGAGTTATATCAACTTACTGGCTTCTTGAAATGCTGCAGCCTGCCTGGTCTTGAAGGTTGATTTGTTGTATATGGCAGTGAAGTCAAAAGCATTGCATTCTTTTCCCTGACAGTGTGGTTAGTTTTACTTTCACTCTAGTACGTTTCAATGGTCAGTATTGAATTTGACTTGAAAAGTAAAACTAATAAAACATGTTTGAATTTGTACACTTTGTTTAACCGGCGAACAATGGCGTTGTGCAGTGTAACATCCGTTTCCTCCTTGATTTGGCATCGACAGAAGTTTTTGCTAGTGTCAGTGTTGATGTCAAGAGCAACTGCAACCAGGAAAGTTTAACACAATAGAACAATACCAAACTTTCAAACATGAGCCCCACCAACTGATTAATTGAAAAAAAAAAAAAGACTTTACATACAGGGCAACTTTAAATAAAAGAGAAAATTAAACTACATTTAAATTGTAGTGTAGATGTCAAATCATCAACTGCATTTTATTTTAATTAAACAGGGCTGATGCATTTTCTGCGCATATGAAATAGAAAAAAATCAAATAAGTCAATTTTATTTTATTTTTTAATTTTTTTTTTTAAGTTTGACACATACTACTTTAATAATGAAATGCTTATTCTGCTTTTTATTTGAACTATTTTATCAATTTTATAAAAATTCGCTGAATCTACCTTCCATAAGCAACAGTAGTCAGCTACGAAATTGTTCATTCACATCAGATGTAATTATATAATCTGTTGACAGACTTGTATTTTGCTTTTCGAACAATTTATCATTTGCAAAGTCAGTTTTCCTCCTTTCATTCTTCCATAAATTTTTCCTTTCTCTGCCACTAGAAGTTGTTAAACAAATATAAAGGTTTCCATCGCACCACATTCAATATGTTACAAGAAGAGTGCTTGTTTTGACAAATCAAGCTAAAACATTTATGTCAAACATTTTGGATAAACATAACTTGACCTTGGTTTCTCTCCATTTTCAGTTATGCAAGCAGTTACTGGCAAATTTCAGTGTCTAACTAAAGTAACACACAAAATTTCAGGGGCAAATCTCTTTTATGATCCTTTGACCTAAACTCATGTTTTGGAATCTGTTTCAATAAATTTACTGCACAATTTGTGGCTTTCTTGTTGTTTTGACATAACAAGAACAGTAACTATGCAGCCTAATCCAGCACAGGTGGACACTGGCATAATCACCTCCAGATAGAGATATGATCGTAGAATGAATGTGGCAGAGAGAGAGAGAGAAATGGGAGCGTACCATGTTACAATCTTCATTTTGGGTTAAGCTTAGTCAGTATATGCTTACTTGTTCCCAAAAGAAACATTATATTTGTAGTAAATAAATACAACCTCTGGTGGTAAATCAAAGTCACCGAGGCATTTAATTTCTGAATCTGAAAGACTAATGGTATTTGCTAATGGTCTTGGTCAATGGTTTATGACAAATCTGCTGTGTAAATCAAATCAGTGCCAGATGTCAAAATGGAGCATCATCAGAAGAGAAATAAATGATGCTATTTGGACCCATGTTTATACATTATGTGATGAATGTTATAAAGAGCAAGCACTCTGCATCTCAGATGCTTTTATATCATATTTAGACAACCTCTGCATCTGGAGAACATTTCGCATATATCTATTTTGTTTTTTTGGGATCCTGTTTGATAAATATGATTTCACCATTGCTGGAACCTTTCTACTTGACTAAGTGGCGTTGGCAAAGAAGAGAAGTGAATTGATCAAGGAGTTTATAAAAAAAGAGGCATTATTTGAAATAGCAATCACTGGAACAAGAACCATATTGAAACACTTTCCAATTACTCTCTTCGGTTTGACCATTACATAACAGTGGTGACGGTGGAGCTCTCCTTGTGAAGACTGACCAGCGTGGAGGAAATTCTTTTCAGTCCTCTTTACTCGAAACACATTTGAAATGTCATTAGCGATGAAGACATAAAGGTGCTGTAAGCTGTTTTTTTGAAAATACCACATATAAAATGTCCCTACCTGGCAGATGATCATCTTGAGAAATTACAAGACAGCAGCAAAAAAAGAGTCATTAGAGCAGCCTGTGGTTTTTCAGCCGATCAGGAATGTCCCCTTGCTTATGCAGGATTTTGGAAGTAGTATTGTTGAAATGACCAAAGTGCCGGAAATGAGTAAAATGTCTGAAATCACTTTAGGACTCAACTAGTTCTGCTTAAAATAAATCATAATAAACGTATCTTGTATTTTTTTTTATCCAACCCACAGCGCTTAAGGAAACATTAAGGAAAGCAATTTGAAGAGTAGCTGCCATGTATAATGCAAGATTGGGTTTATACAGAAATGCCATGTGTAACTCAAGTTCAAGAACACAGGAAAACATATGTGAAGTCATTCGAATGTAAGGACATTGAAAATCGAATTGTAGGGAATGAAATGATACATTTTATGCTCCTTTTCATAACTTGAACAAAGTTTACACAGAAGCATAGTAGTCTGTATTCAATATTGATATGCTTTGGTATAGAATAAAAAGGATTGTGGGGCCATATTGAAGAACTCTAATCCAGCACCACAAAATAGATAAAAGCTAGACAAAAGGTGGTTGTTATATAACTCCATTTGACTAATGTTTGCAGGTGTAGAAGGCAAAAGGTTTGGCACAAGACATGCCCTTAGATTTATGCCCGGTAGAACCATTGATATCTTTCACAGTAAATTAAAGTGATACTAGGTCATGTTGCCTGAAGCACTGATGTGGCCAACAGCAGTGGAAAACTAAAAGTGGTCATTATCAATGTCACGGACATCATTATAAAATAGATTCTGGACCAGTTTTTGACATTTTAAGATAGTAGTTCAGTCACGATGAATCAAAAACCTTCATTTTGTGAACGTTATCTGACTTGACCCACTTTTAGGGCTTTCTTTAACCACCCCTCCAGGGTTGATGTGGGTCACGCAGCCGGAGGACACCAAATCACAAGCAGGTGCTTGGACTCTGCAAATACTGTGACGTGTCATAAAAACCTCATCTAGAATGCCAAGGCAAAATTAAAAGCCTCTCATTGTTTCTTTTAGCATGTGTTTGTGCACCTGTTTGCCAAGAATTTCCTTATTACTGTCCTTTCACACACCAGTTTTTTTTTCTGATAGAAACCCCTGGTATATTCACACAAAATGTCAAGTGAGATGTTATATGCAGTGCAAAAACTTTTCAGCAGTTTATGAACATGGTCATATACATACACATACCTGCATAGAGGAACCTAGGGCCTCATTTATAAAAAGTTTTAAATCTCTGCATTGTAAACGCCCCCTAATTAATGTAATTATTACATAAAAGAGCACATCCAAATCGTTGACTTGAGAATGGAGTTTTTATAAATCTGAATGTTGACATGGATTTTAGCATACGCACACTCTAAGATCAAATATGTGTTTTTTTAAATGGGGCCCCAGATTTATTCTGAACTTTATTTACCTAGTTGAATGATAGTATATGCACACATACGCTGCAGTTCAAAAGTCATACATAAAAGTCATATGCACACATACACTACAGGTTTGTTAAGATTTTTGAATTTTTAGACTCTAATGCTCACCGAGGCTGCCAAAATTGAGTAAAACAGCAATGAAATATAATTACAAACTGAAGTAACTATTCTATTTTAATATATATTTAATCAAATATAGAATTAATATTTTTAAGTGTATTCCTGTGATGGCAAAGCTGTTACTCCAGTCTTCAGTGTCACCTTTAGAAATCAAATATCCTATTATCAATATAGAATATTATTATTAATATATTTTTGGAAAGCCTTGATACATTTTTTTTCAGGGTTGATTAAGTAATAGACGGTTTAAAAAGAACAGCATTCTTGCGGAGTAAGAGTATTAATTTCTTTAAAAAAAATTGAACATTAGTGTATATATATTTTGGAATATTGTATGGCAAATACATAAACCAGAATGAGTATTTAGCAATAAGAATGGAAGCAATGAATTTAAGCAGACTTGGAGTGTTAGGCTGTAACCATTTACTGCAAATCTTAATGTACGTAATGTTTTTACAAAACATCATTCAATAAATCTGAATTGGCACAGAAACGGATGATAAGAACCACTGAAGAGATACAAAACGACTAATACATTTGTCTTTATGAAAATAAACACAAAACATACAGTTTAAACCATTTGTCGAATAGCGCTTCAAAAATATTTTTAGTTTCAAGCTACATTTGAAGTCTACCAGCATTCTGTCTACAAAACATTATGAATTCATATCAATGCATGTTTATGCCAATAAAAATACAATACAGATCCAATATCCAAAGGCACAAGATACGACTAAAACTATAGGCTTTAAAAAAAGAATATAGAGTATATATATATATATATATATATATCAATAAGACATGGTCACAAAAGCGAACACTACGAGGCTCAAGTTAAATAACTACACACTCACATTGATATTACAAATGTACAAATTGACACTTTTTAAGGTAACTGTCATTTATACAGAATTTGGAAAAAAGCATTATGACTACAGAAATGTCGCGTTTTCTTTCTGCTCAAACAACTGAACACCAAGGATTGAATATTGTATACAAAATGGTAGTTGCACATATCTGAAACAACATCCAACAAACGAATCAACCCATGCTATCTTGATTTTTTCCCCCCCATATTTCTTTTTGCACGGATAACATGCAAGTAGCACAAAGAGCAATCTGGGACAGACAGCCAATATTGTCTTATGGATAAATGCGTCACTACAAACTCTCAGACTATGAAGTAATTGAGTTTGAGCTACAGCTGGCGGTCGCAAAAATGGAGAGAGTGAGATAAGCGGGAGACCGTCTCAAGGGAAATGACATCAGAGAAAGATATTGCGACCTAGTTTTTGTAACACAATGTGATTTCTTTCACTGTTTGTACACTAACAATTCATATGAATGGTTTATCGCAGGGCACATGCTTTAGCCTTTTCCCTCGACTAGCCCCCTTCCTGTATTTCATTATCTTCAGTCATTCAGCTCATTGTCCACTGCAGTATAAAAGGTTTTAATTTTGGACCACGTGAATCATCCGAAACAATATTGCACAACGCTTATTAAAACTTTTTGTTCCCTACAGAATCATATTGGAATGGAGCAGCTTCGAGACTGACTGATTGCCAGGTGCAATATCACACGAAGGAAGCGAAGATACGCGATCGTTACGACTACCGAACAAAACAAATGCTACATATTCCAAAGTCGCAATCAAGTTACATCTTCGATCAAGGCTCATGCCATAGTCACAAGGTGTTCATAAACTTTGTTTGGGAGAATATTAGGCACATACAACTATGGCATCAAGCTTTGGGAGAAAATTCCATAGTATAATTCCAACAGCAATAAAATGGGAAAGGCTATGGAAATATCACCTTCCTTCCACTATTAAAACTTGACCCATTTGACAATTCTTCCATATGTCACAATCAAAAGAAGAATGTTAAACCCAAAGAATTCACATACAGCTCTTTAGATCGAATTGGTTCGGAGAGCTGGGCAAGAGGCACAGTTTACAAAATTTAGCAGCATTACACATACAGCAGAAAAGAGGGCTAGGAAAACAGGGCTACTCTTCACATATACACGCATTCAAAACAACACACTAAAGCACATTAGATTAGTCAGTCAATGCACAACCACCCATTATCAGGGTTTCATGGTTGTTTTGTTTCCCAGTCTTTCACATTTTTTTGGAACGGTCCTCAGAGGATTGAAGCTTCCCAGTTTGTAACAGGTTTGTTTATAGTCGGAAGGGGCAGTTTGCGATAGTTAGGGTGCAGACATGAAATGGGAGAAAAGGAAGTCGCATAATAAAAAGAAAAATCAGTCATAGCTGAACATAATGCAAAAAAAAGGTATACAATTTGATTCTTTTTGACAGACCGCCGCAAAGCGGTTAAAAAATGGTATATTATTAATTATGAATAAAAATATAATTAAATTTAAAGAAATGTGCTTCCATGGAACAAATTCATTATAGTCACAGATATTAATGGGTTACTAATAAAAAGTCACTTTTTATTTCATGTTTTCTTTTTCTTTTTTTAAATTTAGAACCATGATCACTCTTTCAGATAGATTTATATGTAAATCCAAATCAAATGTGATTTTACAATCATTTAAAGTAACCTACACAAATTAAAAGGCATTACACCAAGTTTATAAGCTGTTAAAACATACACTCTCAGAACAAAAGAACAAAAGTTGTCACTGCGGTGGTACCCTTTCAGAAGGTACTAAAATGTACCATTTAGGTACTAATATATACATTGTAGGTACTAATACTTTAAAGATACTAATATGTGCTCTTTACGGATAAATAAGGTACAAAGGTGTACCTTTTTCAATGGTACCACCCCAATGGCAGCTTTGGTACCTTTTTTTCTGAGAGTATAATAAACCGTCGACAACAGAAGTATTGAATGTGCAACAGGACACTGACTGTTATTATACATGTTTACACTTATGGAACGTTTTCACTCAATTGTAATTGACACTAGTCTCTTCTTCTTTCTTCCACCTCTCTCCTTCTCTCCCTCGTCTTCCTCTGGGTCTTGCAGAGAGGTAACAGCAGCGGTGGACTTCAGGTGGTCCCCTTGTGCGGCCTCCCCTCGGTTCCTTGACCTGGGGTTTGGAGTTTGGGAAGGAGGTGCAGAAGTGTGGTTGTCATAGTTCATGGTAGAGGAAACTTGAGAGATAACTGGTGTTTGGACCGAGGAAGAGGAGGAAGAAGCTTCAAAGGTCTGCTCACTCATCTCAAAGTGTCCCAGCCCCTCTTCCTCTTGCATGTGATTCAGGTAGTCTGGGAGGAGGAACTCACTAGGGCAAAAAAGGGAGAGAAGGGCCAATGTTCAGAAAGTCATAAACTAACTCAACTTAAGGTAAAACCGACAAGTTTAATGATCTTTACAACCGTCTTTTAGAATCGTAGTACCTTCATTGGTTTCTAAGCACTATAAGCTCAAACTTTTTCATGAAAAATACTTGCTTAATGGGACTAAAACACAAAAGTAGGTTGAAATAAAAGTTATTGCTTTCAGTCTCCTCTGTGAAGCCACAATCTGAGGATGTCAAACCACTCAGACGCAAGGTCAAAACAAAGTTATTTGTCAAAAAAATAAGTTTTTATCATTCATCCAAGATTGTGTTTCAAGCTTGGTATATGAGTCTAAGATTCTTTGGATTGTTTTTACGGACAGCCAGTCCAAGCATGTTCAAGTCTAACAATACATTTTGGCAAAATGTCCTCTGGCAAAACACTGCAGCTATCTAAACAAAAGTCAAAATTCAAAACTAGATTGAGGATTGTGGCTTGGCAGAAAAAATGATATAGCAAGCAATCACAGTTCAAACACTGATGGTTTAATCCATGAATAGGACTTAGATACTAATGACATCATTTCCTATTTTTTTCACAGCAAGTCGTTGCACTCTTGCACAAAGCAAAACTTTGACAGGCATTCATTTTTTATTACAAACAATAATTTAAAATATATTAAAAAAAATGTGAGACATCTAATTAACCCAGTTAGCACTTTCCAATTTGTGCATTTCTGCACCTCTTAAAATTTTACTTAGAAATTAACTCCCTGAAAGTAAAGCACTTTGAAAACGATGGCCGTAATGCTGGCTGTTTCTTGCAATCACAACACATAAAACTTTATCGGGATACACTACATGACTACTCCCTCTCTTAATAAGCACATGCCAGAGTCAAACTATTGCCTCAGCACTGTAACTTGCATAGACACTGTTTATTTGTGCCTGACAAAGATGAATAGAACACAGATCCTAAGAGAGAGGGCTTAAATCAAATAAATGGTTGGATGAAGTAAGGGAGTCTACGTGTAGCAGGAACTCAATGCATAAAAGCACCTGACTCCCTTCCCTCTGCTTTAATGAAGGGCTACCATCATGAAGGTTACCTCAGAAGAGTCTCCTCTGAAATACAGACAATGATTCCACTGAGCTTTTTTGAGAACTTCATTTTAAAAACCTATTCAGCAGTAATTAGCTGACGTAGGATTGATTTCCCTGCTCGCTCCAAATGTTTACATCTCAGTGCCTCTTTTCCTAATACACAGTCCAACTCTCGCTACTTCCAAAATGGAATCAAAGCCATGATTATTCCATTTAGAAAATACTTGTTTTCAAATGAAAGTCGCTTAGTTGGTTTTCTCTGGAGAACACATTTAGGAGGATACACGTGCCAGTTTAAGAATAGAATAAAAGGGAATCTGAAGGGTGTGTATGCCCATGTGTTAAAGCTAGTCAGAAACAAATAAACATTGTACTTTTCATAATACTAATCGAGACAGTCAATAGAGGAGATTTCAGTGATTTCCTGAAAGCTCTATTCATCGAGTAACGTTCTGCCAAATGCAGTACAATGCAACTGGGTGTTACCCTGATTGCGTTAAACCTGTTAAAACTAAGCAGGAAAGACATTTCATCTGATGGATGCATTTTGTCAATCACATCTCAACAAGAAAAACCTATCACCTACAACTCTCTTTGAAAATACACAATGTTTTACCAGGAATACTCTGCAAAAAGGTTCAATCGGTTGACATTAGTTTATGCATTAGGTATCATGAACTAACAATCATTCCAGAACTGATTAATCTAGGTTAATGTTAATTTATAAATTATTTATAATAATTATAAACTATTGTTCATTGGTAATTAATGTATGTTCATAATACATGAATTACTTTATATTAATTGAAATGTAAAAAATGTACACTACTGTTCAAAAGTTTGCGGGTCAGTAAGATTTTGCCAAATAATTAATATGTGTATGCAGCAAGCATGCATAAAAGTGACATGAAAGACTTTTAAGTTGTTAAAATGTCTTATGACTAATAAATTGAACGTTCTATTCATCAAAGAATACTGGGGAAAAAATGCATCACGGTTTCCACAAAAATATTAAGCAGCACAACTTTTTTTTCAATTTTGACAATACGAAATGTTACCTGAGCACCAAATCAGAATAAAAATGATTTCTGAAGGATCATGTGACACTGAAGACTGAAGTAATGGCTGCTGAAAATTCAGCTTCGCCATCACAGAAATAGATTCATTTTCAACTACGTTAAAATAGAAAACAGTTCTTTTAAATTGTAATAATGTTTCACAATATTACTATTTTACTGTGTTTTTGATCAAATGAATTTAGACTCGGTGAGCATTATTTATTTGTAAGTTAAACATTAATCATTATTAACAGTGCTGTAAAAGTACTGTTCATTGTTAGGTCATGACACCTAATGCGTTAACTATTGTTAACGAATTTAACCTTATTGTGAAATGTTACAATTTTACCTAATACACATATTCTTCAATACAGTTAAATAATTTCTACCCCCAATTCAAAAAACGCATCTGCTACCTCAACATGGGATGAATGGCCGACTGTACAAAACTAAATTTGTACTATATTTTCTTAGAATGTTCAGCTCTTCCTCACCTGGTCTGGAAGTAGTTTGCTAGTTCTGACGCCTCATGGTTGAGACTCCTCAGGTGTACGATTAAATTGCCGGAGTTGGTAAACATGGCGCCGCACGTTTTGCACTCGTAAATCCGAGGCTTGCGGATGATGTGGCGAGACACCCTCATGTGATGCTTATATTCACCGAAGGAAGTGAAAGTGGCGCTACAGATCTGGCACCGGAAACAGCGTTTACCTTCGTGCTTCAGCCGGTGCATCTTCAGAGAGTAAGCCCGCGTAAACTTTTTCCCGCAGCGGTCACACTGGAATGGCTTAATACCTATAGTAGAAAGATGTAAAAAAAATTATAGTCTCCTATATCAGAAAACAGGACATAATTATCAAATACTGAAGTTGAATGAGACTGAAAGGAACGTAACAAGAATGTGTCTTTGTTTTAGTAGGCTCTGTGCTAACTGAGCTACACCTGCTGATGAGAAATGACAAAATAACCAAACACATCATTCTGCTCATGCAAATAATGTTTATTGTGAAGGTTCAATCTAGCAATGTATGTCAAGTTAGGTATGTTGTTCATTTAACCCACATCTAAACCAATTGCATACAATCGCTTTCACCAGTCCATAACTAATCGCTGTAATGAGGAGTTCTGTTTGGACATTCAACCGCAAACAAAACGCCATCTCTGTATAAACTAACAAAGAGATTAGGGTGAATCATGTTGTCTTCTTCTCCAAACAAGACGTTTATGTAATACAGGGCCCGATATTAAGCTTTTCCATGTTCTAGTGTGAAAGCTTAAGTCAGCTATCCTAAAACATTTCAACTCAACAATAAAGTTTTAGTAGCTGAAGTATTAGCAAAATGCTCATAGACAGAAGTTATCCACAAAGGACTGCAAACACTATATTATAGTCACTATAATCTTATTAGGTCATGTAGTGTTTTTACTCTTAAGTAGGGCTGGGCGATATGGCCAAAAATATTCTTTCATACGACATCAATATTTATCACGATATTCATTCACCATTAATTGAAACATAGATGAAAAAATACCTTGGTTGTATGTATGATACTGATGATCTATGATGGCAGATGATAAAATCTGTGATATCAGTGGCATGCACTGATTTGCTGTTGTTTATTTCTGCAGTGTGACAGACTGTTAGATTAATCCATAGGCTTAAAATGTCCAGAGCTTATCATTATAAAAATCTATTTTATTGCAGACTCAATATGATATTGTTTATTGCCCAGACCTAAGAGTCCCCTTTAAAAAAGCAAAATGTAAAAAAGTTCTCTTTCTTTTCACATGCAATGCCTCTGTCAATGTCGAGTCCAGTAATAGCAGAGGTTCTCTCACCAGAGTGGATGAGCATGTGCTGCTTGAGATTCTGTATTCGAGTGAAGCGGACGCCACATGTAGGGCACTGGAAGGGCCGTTCAGGACTGTTGAGTCCTGGGCGAATGGAAGGGCTAATGTACAGGTGGTATGGGTACTGGACATTCTCCAGCCTGGAGAAAGAGTGACAGGATAAGAGACTAAATTAGATGAGCCAACTGCACACAGAGTCTTAGTAGTCATTAAAGGGATAGTTTACTAAAAAATGAAAATTAATTCATCAATTACTCACCCTTGTGTTGTTCTAATGCGTATGCCCTTCTTTCTTTTTCAGACCACAAAAGGAGATTTAAAAAAATTTAAAAAAAGTCCCGCGCATGCTTTTCCATCTAATGCCAGTATATGGTGATCAACATCAAGCTTTTAAAAAAGACACAAAAGTATCACAGAGTGGTCACATGAGACATGTGCCGAATATTCCAAGTGTTCTGTGGGTATACGATACGGTTTGGTTAGAAACAAACTTAATTTTAAAGGGGTCATATGATGTTGCTTAAAAGAACATTATTTTGTGTATTTGGTGTAATGAAATGTTTATGCGGTTTAAGGTTCAAAAAACACATTATTTTCCACATACTGTACATTATTGTTTCTCCTCTATGCCCCGCCTTTCTGAAACGCTTCGATTTTTACAAAGCTCATCGTTCTGAAAAGCGAGGTGTGCTCTGATTGGCCAGCTATCCAGTGCGTTGTGATTGGCCGAATACCTCAAGCGTGTAACGGAAATGTTACGCCCCTTACCATACTGTGATGCTGTGTCCCGGCGTGGACGAGATAAAACCCATTATAAACGATAATGGGTCGTTTTTTTTGTAGTTCATTTGTAGCATCCAGTGGGGACATAATTACGGATTATAATGACTTTTACTGTCTTTTTACGCGTTGCGTTGCATCGCGCC